CCCCGATTTTTTTTTTGTGTTTTTTCAAGCTTGGGGGTTCCCCCCCCCCCCCCATGTTCGGAAGAACCCAGCCCCCCCCCCCCCCCGCGATTGCCTTTTGGGGAGAGCGGGGCTCCAGGTCTCGTACATGATCTTGTTGGACCATATGGTTAGCAAAGTCTGTAGTATGTTTCCCAGTACATATACAACATACGTGTGTGTCTTTATTATTTGCGTCGACCGCGCTAACCGGCTGACCAATGAAAATACGTCAGTCTCAGTGCAGTTATAACACAAAACACTTCCGAACGCCATGAACTGGGACCCCGTGAGGGGGCGGCATAAGGGGAGTGTGTGTGTGAGTGTTCCCTTTGATGTTTTTTCGGGCCGTTTTGGTCGGCTGCCCGTGGCAGCATCGGCTCGCGCGCAGGACGAAATATTCCCGATCTTTTTGATAGAACAGAATAAGGTTTTTATTTTTGGCGTGTGTGAGCAGAGACGGAGACGTTCTGTTCAGCGTGATTCCTGAAAGACACGGCTGCGTGGGAGGGTCATTGTTCTCGACAAGGGGGCTACAGGGAGAAGCATCATGAGGCCCTCCCCGAGGATTTCCCCCAAGCACAAGACCTTCGTCAATAATCGGCTATGCTGCTGTTGCTTGTGCCTGTCACAGCCCCGCTGCCATGCGCGTTTGCCGATGCCGGGGCTTGCGTAGGCGAATGTTCGAGATCGGGTCTTTGGTTTGTAAGGGAGCGGTAGCCTGTGCGTGCTTGCGGAAGCTTTTTCCTTTTATTCTTGGTCGTGCTGTTCTGTTGTTGGCTAAGTATTGTTGTTGTTTTTGCTGTTGATGATGATTTTGTCGCCTTGTCGCCTTGTCGCCTTGTCGCCTCCCCCCCCCCCCCTTGTTTGCCGACTTCGGGGCTGAACGCAGATCAAGTGCATCATGCTCCAGCTGCTGGAGGCGATCGAGTACCTCCACAGCCGGTGGATCATTCATCGGGACCTCAAGATGTCCAACCTGCTGTACAACAACCAGGTTATCCACACAACCCGCCAACTGCTGTTTTGCATGGATGCGCGAATCAAACCGCAATTAAAATTGGCGGCGGGCTTGTTGGTGAACACAACTGCAGCGGGTACAGTGGCGGCTACAGTTTAAGAGAGGCTGTTTAAGAGAAAGTAGCGCTTAAAGAGAGTCGAACTGGCTTGTCACGACCACGAGAAAATACATACATTTCACAATTACGGCTTTTAAGAGAAAACCGGATTTAAGAGAGAAATACTGGCTCGTCACGACGCTCTCTTAAACCGTAGCGGCCACTGCACCACTTTTATTCCATGTTGTCCGACACCAGAAGTTATTTTACGGTAGCTCTTTTGCGTAACGTGTCGCCATGCGGAACCTACTGCAAGAGTCGTGGTTGTGGCCCTGGAACCTGACCCGCCACGCCAGCGCGAGCGATTCTGCTTCCAATGCGATTCGGGTGTCCCCTGCCCCCGGCATTTTGGCACGCTGCTGATTTCTTCGTTGATATATTCGGCGGTCGTGCTTTTCGTATTTTGTTTGCCTTCTGCCAGGGCCAGCTCAAGCTTGCCGATTTCGGGCTAGCGAGAACTTTTGGGCACCCCGTTCAGCCCATGACTCCGAAGGTGTGGTCCTGCTTGCGGTCTCTCTCTCTCTCTCTCTCTCGCAATTTTTAGTTGTTTCTCGCGTTTTAATTGTGGCAATGTTTACTGGAGCTTTTCTGTTTGATCTTGCTTTGCTACCGTGCGCTGTGCTGCTGCTGCTGCTGCTGCTGCTGCTGCTGTTGATCGTGGTGTTGTTGTCTTCGAATTCAACATATGCATAGCATACACCGCGTCTTTTCCATAAATATTTTTAGGTGGTTACCCTTTGGTACCGGTGTCCGGAGCTGCTGCTGGGGTGCGACACGTACTCGACGGCGGTGGACCTGTGGGCCGCGGGCTGCATCCTCGGCGAGCTGCTGCTGGGCAAGCCCCTGATGCCTGGAAAGACGGACCTCGACCAGGTTCACAAGATTTTCAAGGTGTGGTTTGTCGCAAATTGCTTGCGCTATGCGGGTGTGTATTCGTGTGTGTGTGTGTGTGTGTGTGTGTGTGTGTTTCTTCTTTTTTTTGCCCGTAATATCGACCTTATCGCGAGCCGGCTGACCAATGAGAAGACGCCAGTCTCAGTGCGGTGCGCGTTTGCATGTGTGTGTGTGTGTATTTTTTTACATCGACCTTCGCGCTGGCCGGCTGACCAATAAGAAGACGTCAGTCTCAGTGCGGTTGAAAAACAGAAAAATCTTCCAAAGCCCGTGATCTGGGACCGCGTGAGGCGGCGGCTACACTGCTCTCCGGATTAAACACGGAAACGGTAGCTACAGAAGAGCACTGCACGTGTGTGTATTTCTTTTAGTTGGCATCGACCGTGCTAAAACCCGCTGACCGGTGAAAAGACGCCAGTCTTGCACTGTAGCAGGACGTGTATTCGTCCTGATGAGTTGTTGGCGGCAAAACCTTTAACGTTGTCGCTGTTTTTTTTTATTTTTTTCGAAACTTCCACGATTGTTGCGCGCTTTTTCCTGCTGGTTGAGCTTGACGAAGCAGACCAGACAGAGAGAGAAAGCGTTGATTTCACTGTTGCGTTTTCAACCCTCCCCCCCCTACCCCTCGCCGAATACCTGACGGTGCTTCGCGCTTGGTGATGTGAGAGCCTGGTCCGGTGAGAACCCGGCGTGCTCCGTCCCGGCTTTGTAGGGATGCGAGGCCGATGGTCTAACGATTACGGCATGCACGACTATGAGTACCCCTCCCCCCCCCCTACCCCTCCCCGGCGTTTGCCATCGGGGTTGGGTTTTCGTCGCTTGGCAACGCCCTTGTAAAACAAGCCCCCCCCTCGGTGTTTGCCATCGGGGTTGGGTTATCGTCGCCCCCCCCCGGTGTTGGCCATCGGGGTTCGGTTTTCGTCGCTTGGCAACGACGTTGTAAAACAAGCCAATTCACTTCGTGAATTCAGCAACCAGGTTACCGGGGTTTTTTTTCCTTTGGTTTTTTTTTGGCGGTAACCATAATGGTGGTCGAGTAGATCATGTTGTGCGGGGTCGAGAACCCTCACTCCGTGCAAGGGGGATGATCGCACCACGTTGTGTTAAAATGGTCAAGCACCCTCGAGGCAGTTACACAGTGCTTTAACTGTCTCTGGAAGTGAAAGCACCAGAAAATAAATTAAGTCATACGTAGCTGTCATCCGTACGCAAGGGCGTAAGCACAAGATGCCGAACACCCTAGCAGGATGCAGCTCACCCTTCATGCGACTCGCCGAATACCTGACGGTGCTTCGCGCTTGGTGGTGGAGAGCCTGGTCCGGTGAGAACCCCGGCGTGCTCCGTCCCGGCTTTGTAGGGATGCGAGGCCAATGGTCTAACGACTACGGCATGCACGACTATGAGTACACCTCCCCCCCCCCTACCCCTCCCCGGCGTTTGCCATCGGGGTTGGGTTTTCGTCGCTTGGCAACGACCTTGTAAAACAAGCCCCCCCCTCGGGTGTTTGCCATCGGGGTTGAGTTATCGTCGCCCCCCCCCGGTGTTGGCCATCGGGGTTCGGTTTTCGTCGCTTGGCAACGACGTTGTAAAACAAGCCAATTCACTTCGTGAATTCAGCAACCAGGTTACCGGGGTTTTTTTTCCTTTGGTTTTTTTTTGGCGGTAACCATAATGGTGGTCGAGTAGATCATGTTGTGCGGGGTCGAGAACCATCACTCCGTGCAAGGGGGATGATCGCACCACGTTGTGTTAAAATGGTCAAGCACCCTCGAGGCAGTTACACAGTGCTTTAACTGTCTCTGGAAGTGAAAGCACCAGAAAATAAATTAAGTCATACGTAGCTGTCATCCGTACGCAAGGGCGTAAGCACAAGATGCCGAACACCCTAGCAGGATGCAGCTCACCCTTCATGCGACTCGCCAAATACCTGACGGTGCTTCGCGCTTGGTGGTGGAGAGCCTGGTCCGGTGAGAACCCGGCGTGCTCCGTCCCGGCTTTGTAGGGATGCGAGGTCAATGGTCTAACGACTACGGCATGCACGACTATGAGTACACCCCCCCCCCCCCCCCCTTACAGGATTTTCCCAGTTTTGTGTAAGGGGAGGGGGTGGATCCTTGTGGGGGTTGAAAAACACTCCCGCTGCAACATGGGTGGAACATGACCACAAAAGAAACCACCCCCCTGCTTTCTTCCCGGGGTACATACGGGAATGGAACCACTTTCTCTTTTGGGGTAACTCGGAAGTTTTTTCTTCCTTCCAAGAAACAGAAATAACAACAACACCCACAACAACAACAACAACAACAACAACCCAATCCCCTCAAATGCAGGCCCCGGTTATTTCCGTTTTCCCTCCCTTAAAAAAATAATTTATTCCCTCGTTTCTCTCCCCCCTTTCCTCCCCTTCCTTCCCTCCGGGGAACCGGTTTTCAACCCCCCCCCCCCCNNNNGGTTTTTTTTCTTTGGGTTTTTTTTGGGGGGTAACATAAATGGGGGTGGAGAAGATTAGGTTGGGGGGGGTGGGGAACATTCATTCGGGGAAGGGGGGAGGTTGGCACCAGGTTGGGTTAAAAGGGTAAGGCCCCTTGGGGGGAGTAAAAAGGGGTTTTAATTGTTTGGGGAGGGGAAGGCCCCGGAAAATAAATTAGGTCATAGGTGGGGGTCATCGGTAGGAAGGGGGGTAGGCAAAGGAGGCGGAACCCCTTGGGGGGGGGGGGTTCCCCTTTCTGGGGATTGGCAAAATCCCGGGGGGGGTTTGGGGTTGGGGGGGGGGGAGCTGGGTCGGGGGGGAACCGGGGGGGTTCGGTCCGGGTTTGGTGGGGAGGGGGGGTAAAGGGTTTAAGGATTGGGGCAGGCAGGATTAGGGGTACCCCCCCCCCCCCCCCCCCTTACAGGATTTCCACAGTTTTGTGTAGGGCGAGGGTGTGGATCCTTGTGGTGGTTGAGAATCACTCACGCTGCAGCATGCGTGCAGCATGACGACAAAGGAAACGACCTCCCTGCTTTCTTCCTGGGGTACATACGGTAGTGGACCAACTTTTTCTTTTGGTGTAGCTCGGAGGTTTTTTTTTCGTTCAAAGAAACAGAAATAACAACAACACCAACAACAACAACAACAACAACAACAACGCAATCCGCTCAAATGCAGGCCGCGGTTATTCCAGTTTTCGCTCCCTTAAAAGAGTAATTAGTTCCCTCGTTTCTCTCCCCCCTTCCCTCCCCTTCCTCCCCTCCGTGCAACCGGTTATCACCCCCCCCCCCTCCCTCTCAAACGTGGTGTATCGTGTGTGGGTTTCGTCACCGGATGCTCTGGCTTTTTTCCGGCGGCGGCGGGATAAAGCTGCTGGGTGCCCCCAACGAGCGAATCTGGCCTTCCCTGCTGGACCTGCCCAACGTCCGATCGGGAAAGATCGACGTGCTAGGGGTATCGCACCGGTCAGTGGGGGGTTTCTGTGGCGGGCGCCTCTCTGCCAGACGATGATGAAAAACACTCGCGCATTGGAAGCCATT